AAACATATTATATATTAATTATAAAAAAATATCTAAATTATATAAAAACCTATTTTTTTTAAGAAAACAAACGTTCCGCCACCTATCAGTCCATCACTTAAGTTAAAGGTAGTATCGATCGAGGTGAGCCCCAAGAGTTTGAAGATGGTTGCAGTGTACGTGTCTAACTCAAGGGTGGGCACAAAATGACAAACAAAAATAATTGTTTAATCAAAGCAAATAAGAAAAAGCAAGACATCGAAACAAGAAAAGAAAATCGTGGTCGTGATGTATAGAAATGGTGAGTGAGACATTGTAGAGAAAGTTGATCGAATATTTGGACTTTTTTGTGAAGTCCATAAATTGTATTGTGAAGACGTTTAATAGCGATTTTTTAAAATGATATAGACCCAGGACCTAACTTTGTTTTGTTATATAACTTGTGTCCTCAATTCTTCACTTTCAACCTATGAAAAGTGAGCAGCTAAATTGGCATTCCATCATAATAAAGCAATGAGAAAAAGACGTCAACGAAGGCAAATCCATCTGATTTTACTTGTGTTATTTCTACTACTTTGAATGTAAAAAGAGTAGTAAATTTACCAGAATTCCAATTACTGCTTCGGGAAGGGTAACAATATCACATTCGCCTCAATTATTGGCTTGGGAAGGGTAAAGTTTTTGTTGGTGTTTATATACAGTTGTTCCGGGTGATTTTATATACGGGGTTGGAAATGAATGCAAGCGGTCCCTCCCATGATAATGACAACATACATTATTATAAAACAGGTTCAAAGATCCATGCACACCTAAAAGTAAAATTATAATAAATTGCTAACAAAGATGGTTTGGGATTCAAGGAAGAGCTTTTAGTCGGTCTTTGAAAGGTGCTTTCGGTTTATTTGTAACGCAACTGCTTGGTGGGGGTAGGATAGCTTTAGAAAGCTGATTTGTTTGTAGGGTTTTTATTGATAAATTTGATATTACTTGTGAAAAAGGCATGTTTTTCATAATCGGACCGGTTAGTGAATCGGTCATGTTATCGGTTCATTGGTTCAACCGGTTGAACCGGTCCGATCAGTCGGAAGAACCGGACGACGTCATAATTATTTAAAAAATTAAATAAAAATACCAAAAATATTTAATAAAAAATAATTTTTTATATCACAAGTCATATTCAAATCAAGTCATAACATATATAAGTTAAAAACCATAAAATCAAGTGAAACAAAATGATTCAAATTAACTACAACATAATATTTAAGGTAAAACATATTAAATAATAAATATAATTATATAACTATAATTAAAAAATAAATTTGGGGCTAAAAAAATCATAACAAAATGATATTTGTTTAGTTTAATTTTTTTTAAATAATCCCACATGGCTAAGAAACATAGAAGAGCATCCCAAAAGTCTAAAGAGTAAAAATATGAGAATAAAACAATCTCACATGACTAAGAAACATAGAAGAGCATTACAACTAACTTCTATAAATAATAGAGGTAATTTGACATTCAAAATCAGGGAGCCTTTTAGTGAGCATTGAGTGAACTATTCTTTCACTTCAATTAAGCTCGAATTTTAAGTTTCAATCGAGCTTCTAATTTTTTTTTTGAGTTTAAGCCTTTTTGAGTTCAAGTTTCAATATTATATTTCAAGTTTGAGTTGAACTTGATAATTTTTAGCTCGTGAGTTTGAGTCGAGTTGAGCTTACTTTTAAAGTTTTCAAGTTCAAGTCGAGCTCAGCAATACTCGATTTCGACTTGGCTCGTTTAACAAATGACGTCGTTTGGTTTAATTTGTTTTAAAAAAAACAAATTTCTGATTTTTTTCGGTTTTCAACCGGTCCGGTTCGAACGGTTCAGCGGTTCTGGCCGGTTCACTAGTAGCGGTTCAACCGGTGTAGATTGAACCAGATTAGACAACGATTTCTGGTTGAATCGGTTGAACATGCCGGTCCGGTCCGATTTTCAAAACAATGAAAAAATGACTTTGGGAGTACCCCAAGTTGCTTAGGCTATGTATCCCATAAGAAAGAGACGCGTAGCAGTGTTTTGAAAATCGGATCGAATCGGTCGGTTCAATCGAAAATCATTGTCTGGTCCGGTTCATTGTAATCCGGTTAAACCGCTACTATTGAACCGGACGAAACCGCTGAACCGTTCGAAACAGACCGGACCGTGAACCGGTTGAACCGCCAATTTTTTTTTAAAAAATTAAACCAAACGACGTCGTTTGTTAAACGAGTCGAGTCGAACTCGAGTATTGCTAAGCTCGACTCGAACTTGAAAACTTTAAAAGTAAGCTCAACTCGACTCAAACTCACGAGCTAAAAATTATCAAGTTCAACTTGAACTCGAAATATAATATTGAAACTTGAACTCGAAAAGGCTCGAACTCAAAAAAAATTAGAAGCTCGATTGAAGCCTAAAATTCGAGCTTGATTGAAGTGAAAGAATAGTTCACTCTATGCTCACCAAAAGGCTCCATGATTTTGAATGTCAAATTACCTCTATTATTTATAGAAGTTATTTGGGATGCTCTTCTATGGTTCTTAGCCATGTGGGACTGTATTAAAAAAAATTAAACCAAACAATATCATTTTGTTATGATTTTTTTAGCCTCAAATTTATTTTTTTATTATAGTTGTATAATTATATTTATTATTTAATATGTTTTACCTTAAATATTATGTTGTATTTAATTTGAATCATTTTGTTTCATTTGATTTTATGGTTTTTAACTTATATATGTTATGATTTGCTTTGAATATGACTTGTGATATAAAAAATTATTTTTTATTAAATATTTTTGGTATTTTTATTTAATTTTTTAAATAATTATGACATCGTCCGATTATTCCGACCGATCGGACCGGTTGAACCAGTGAATCGATAACATGACCGGTTCGCTAACCGATCTGGTTCTAAAAACCATGCGCAATAGTGAAATAGTATTTTATATATATATAAAATTATGGATTGTTTCCTTACTTTCGTTTAATTTTTTTCCCATTGTATACGGCCTCGTTAGGTGAGACTGTCGGGGGCCCCGGGGGGATGTCAAACATGAATATATATATATATATATTAATTCTTCCTCATTTTTTTCCTTTTAGTTTTTCGAGCACCTCTTCGAATCAATATAGAAGTCGTTTGTATGTTAATAATAAAAAATTCAAGAGATATAATAAAAATTCATATTGAAAATACTAAAAGATATATAGATCCATATAGGTCACTGGTTGACATTGATAATCGTTTTTTATATCCTTTATGATAATTTGTAGCGATAGATCATACACAATAACAATGAAGATATGTGAAGATTTCTAAAATCAGTCAAATTGATTGATTGTTTTTTCAATCTCATTTTGTCTATTAAAAATTATGCATATTACATCTTTTTTTTTTTAACAACATACACACGTAAGTTACTGAAGAAAATTTCCAGAGGTCAATATCCTCTTTCTCAACTATGATAAAGATTTTAGAACAATTTTTTAATTCTCATTCTATATAATCATCAATGCATTGAGGAAATGTCCAAAAAATTTTGTAAAATTGACACATATTAAGAATAAAATGGTCATTGGAATCCCACTGAGGGCAGTTCATAACGGAGGTCTTTCACGGAAGCTGCTCTCAACCTTGCGTTGGGGGCAGCCTACTACCTTACCTCCCCCTTATCTCATTACATATGGGAATAGGGTCAGTTAATATATGGTCATTCGAGTGGGCTGAGATGATATCCAACTTAACAATAGTTTCAAAGATATAAATTTATATAATTTTAGATAGTTTTATAGTTCTCTGTAAGATTCATTTTCCTGATCATATAATTTTATAATTAAATATTTTTGTATCGATGACTTGTATTTTTTAAAAGAATAAGAATGAAAACATTGTACTGCATGTACATAAATTGCTGAATAAATGCTCAATTGTATATTTTCATTTCCAACATCAAATGAATAACATGAATGATTGAATTTTAATGAGAATCTCTAATCTGTGATCAAACTAATTGTAAGAAAAAAAATCACTTTAACAATAATAATTAATTGTATAAATTAAGCGATCTCAATGGTTAAGAGAATGATTGTTATCTTCCAAAGCTCCCGAGTTAAAGCATATTATTTGCAAGAGTATTTAAGTATTTATTATTAAATAATTAAGAACATTTCAAATAAAGATTATCTTGAATTTGGCCAACGACATATGCAATGTGTGGAACTAGATATAACGTAGAATGTAAAAGAAATAATAGTAACTAACAATATAATTAATTTAATTAAAAATTATAATAATTTTTTAGCAACTAACTCGACATATTTGACATTTTGGCCTAAATATCTAGTCACAATCCATAGTTTTATACGACACGCGAGAGTCTCAGAAAAATAACGACCTTTATTTTTCTTGAAAGCTCCGGATAAAATCTAAAATTATATTTTTGGTCCCTCCTAGTCATGGAGATTACTTCTTCAATTTAGTTATTTTTAGCATGATTTTGTTTTTGTTTAAAAAAAAATCGAGAATAGATCATCACATTTGCTGCCTGTAAGAGCCTGTCTAGTTCACTGAAATTGAGATTGGATTTTTGTTTAAATGATTTAATTTTCAGCTCTCAAGTTGCATGCAGTCTCTATTACTTTCTGATTTACAGAGAGGCAGAGACGCAGCTAGGGGGAGATTCCTAAAATGGTAGAAACATTATTGTGATCCTTTAAATTTTAAAATTTTAAGTTCATATATTGACAAAGTTATATTCTAATCTTTCATCAATGCTGATTACATCCAATCAAATAAACGTATCGATGATTAAATATTTGAAACATACAAATGTAAGACAACGCGATATCTTATTGTTTGAAAAACAGTGAGATATTTACCTTTAGATACTGAAATTACAGAAAAAATTCTCTGATAGTTACCAGGAAAGGTTAAAGGGGCGGGGGGGGGGGGGGGCTTTGGAACTGAAGCAGCATCTTCAAATGAGAACATTTTGTCCTCCATTAATGAAACCCATGAATATCTCCATTATCTTCTTTATCCAACCCATCCATCATGTAATACTCGAACTTTTCAACTGCGTATTCTGGCATTGATACTTGCACTCTTACCGCATCAAAATTACCCACCACCGGTAAAAACAAGCAGTAAATATCACTTGTCAAGGGTCCCATATGCAATGCCTTACCTTCCCCAAAATCCAAATCCTCTAACCCCAGCTTCGCCCATTGAGAAATCACCAAGCTCGAACAAGTATCCATTTTCACATTTTTATCCTCCAACAAATCAATCATTGACCTAACGTTCCCGTCAGTTAAACTTGATTTGGCTTGCTGGATTAACTTTATGCCGTGGTGTAAATTCAAGGTGACCAAGTCTTTTACTGCGGTCTCAGCGCAAGCTAGAACAAACCCGTTCCCGTAATACCCCTGTGGCAACACCGGGATTAGCTTTTTCCTAACGTTGACGGAAAACAGGAGCTTGACCTTAAGCGACGTAGGCGACAAGTCCAGGGATCGAACCCACGACCGCCACGTGTGCGAGGCCAATGCCTCGAAGGTGGTGCATTTGAGAGACGGAAAGCACTGTCGTTTGAGGCGGAGGACGTGGGCTGGGGTGAAGGTAAAGGACGTGGTTACCAGTGGTTGCGACAGTACATACTGGTTGATGTCCACGTGGGTGTGGTTGTCTTTGAGGGTAGTTTTGGTATAGCAAAGATGAGTGTGGGTTATTTGAGGAGGATCTCGGGGTTTCAACACATGGCGAGAATGCAAGGGTAAAATGGTAAATTCAAGTTTGGGTTTAGTTATAACGTGCGACCACGCGTGCAAGAACTGGGATGTACCTATGCCGTCACATATACAATGATTTATCGCGGTGCAGAGGATCATCCCTCCACAGCGAAGATTCGTTACCTGCACCATAAATAAATAAAATTCAATTTAAGGTTTTACCTGTTTTAGTTAAATTTTCATGTCGATGCCTCTGATATGCTAAAATGTAAAATATATCCCACACCTTTAATTTGATATAATTTGAATTTCTTTTTTTTAATGTAATTAATTAATCTATACTTATAAAACTATTAATCGTCGCTAAAGATTTCTTAAGAAAAACTCAATCAAACAACTAATATCAATAAAAAATTAAATATAAATTTAATTTTTAACGATATTTTTCTAAAATAATTCAGGTTAGCACTTTATCAAAGTTACCTATTTTTATAGCTTGGGTAAATAATAAAATTATAAAAAGTTGAAAGATCGAATTATATCAATTTAAAATGTGAATTAAATATTAAATGCTAACATAGTATAAGGACTAAAACTATAATTAAACCCTTTTTTAGTAAAGTTTTATTTGTGGGGATATTTACGGTACCTGAACGACAAGAGGTGGAATCTCGAGGGATGAGTGAACTTCAACCCTGTAAAGGAGCTTTCTCCAAGACCTGTTTGGTTTCCGGGAAAGCTGCAGAAACTGCTCACAGGTGATGTCCATGAAAGCGTCGGCAAAAACGGCACCTTCGCCATTGCAATCAATCTGGAGCTTGTGATCGTCGCAAGGTCTTAACCTCCCAGCTAAAGGGTAGTAGTCTACGAGAACTTTGGAGAGGGAATATTTCAAGGTATCTACGGAAACAGCTTTCTGGAAAAGGTAGAGATATTTAATGGAGAATCTAAGGAACTTTTGATCATCAAGGTTGGAGAGATACAAATAATGCTTTGGTGTAGCGGTGTTTGGATAGATCGAGGTTGGCTTGTTCCGGTAAAAGCAATCTGGGAGTTCTTCAGATCTTAACATGTCTCTTTCTTCTCTGCAAGAAAGAACGATGGAGGGTGAGATATATTAAAAGAAGGTGGGGAGGAAAATACAGTGGGGGTAGGCGATGATCTATCGATGGATATGGTGATCGTACCATCAGATTCCTTTAGGGGAGGGCTGAGAGAAAGAGAGAGAAGATGTGTGCATATAATAAGCTCACGGCTATTTTTTTTTAATTTATTTGGTTTTGATTACCACTTGTTTAGCACTTTCATTTAGACATTGATTTGCCTTTATTTAGCGGAAAGGCACACTGCTAGCTCTGTGACTAATTTTCTTTTTGGGGTCTTGGAATGTGATCTGGCAATACATGGACTCTCTCATCAAACTATTATCCCATCCCAACAAAACCTAGTTTTAAGAAAGGGTAAACTATGTATTTAGTCATTCATATATTTTACAGTTATGTTTCAATCATTTCACTATTTTTTTTAAATTATATCCAATAGTACATTTTGGTCACACAACATTAAAAAAAAACAAAACTATTGATGTGATTCTTTCTTATTATTTTTCGATGATGATATGGTATTATTTTATGGTGATATTTCAGTATCATCATCTTTTTTATAACGATGAATTATTAAAACGTAACGTTAGATATTATTTAAGAAAATAGTTGGGCGATCAAAAATAAAATCACGAGAATAAGTGAATGATTATATAGTTTATTCTAAAGAGATTTAAAGAATATATTGATTATAAAAGAAAAAAAGTTGTTGAAAAATGAAAAAGTGTAACCCAAACGTTAGTTATGATGATTGAGGGGCATTTTCCTCCCCCGTTTCTATTGGCATTGGTATTCATGTTGGCTCATTTAAATTTAAAATGAATGGCCAAAGTGGTCCTATAAACACTTGTTTTTATGGACAAAACAAAGTATATGCCATGATAAAGAACAAAAAAACTGAAAAAGAATCCAAATGAAGGAATTGACCAAGCATTTTGAATATCATTGTTTCCTGTTTGGGTGTTGGGGAACTTACATTGTCAGCAGCCAGAGTGGCCTTTTCATGCTTTCATGTGCTCTGTCTTTATGAAATTTCTTTTTCTTTATGTACAAGGAAATGAGCGGTACATAATTAAATTTTCTAATTTCATTTTTTATCTAATTATTATTATTAAAATAATTGTTTTTAAATTGATAATCATTTCATTTATTTTTTTAAATAATAGAATTATTTTTACCGATTCAACATGTCATATAGAGTAAAGGTTAAAGATGTCAATATTCCTCGATCTCAATGGATCCCAATTAGACTCGATTAAAGTTGGTCGAAAATGCCACAATTTTTTTTCTTCAAAATTATGGTCGAATTGAAATATCTAGAGGTGAGTAAAATTTGTTTAGATTTAAAATACTTACTCGGTTCGATTTTTTTAAGTATTTAATTTAATTTTAAAATTTTTTAAATAAATTTTGAATGATAAAATATAATTTGTCAATTTGACTAGATCGAAATATTTTAACTCGGTTCAATTTAGCTAACTCAAATACTCACTCCTAATTCATTCATCATTTAAGTTCATTTTGATCAAATTTGAATCACATGTTCATGTAACACTATATAATATCTATATAACTTCAATTCATTTTTAACAATAAATTTACTCTTTTTGCAATTTAGTCCCCTAATTGTGCCTTTTATTCATTTTTTATTATAATTTTTTATAAATTCTTTTTTCTAACAATTTCTTGACTCTTTTATACTCTCATCAATATTCCCCGCCAAAATACCTTCTTTATGTTCTGAATTTTCAATAAGGTGTCATTCCATTTGCATTATGAAAACATGAATACGAAGCCTATAATATATTAAACAATAAGTTAAGGTTGCACGTGGAACGGTCTTTCTTAAACTTTGTTATTGTATATTCACTAAATTGTTCATTATTCTTCGTAGAGAAATAGAATTTAGAAGACTTGATAAGAAAATAATTGATTGCCTCTTAGCAAAGTTACCTTAAAGTATGTAATAAGATTCATTTTTAAAATGAATTAGAGGCAATGTGAAAGTTCATTGAGAATAGACTTAATGCTATGTTTGTTTTGGATTTGTGCATGGACTATGAACTTTTTAATAAGGTTTTGATGTGTTTGATCACGTGTGGAATGCATGATATGATTGATTTTTTTTTTGATAATATGTTAGTATGCATGTTTAGACTAATGTCAAGTATGTAAAATGACTAAATTTGTTAAATCGTAAGATAATATTGTTTAGTTTGTTTGAACAAGTCACAAAACATTATATTAGTATGTTAATTTTGTTAGAATAAGTTAATGACCTTGAATACAAAAATGACTATATGAGTTCCTAAAAAACAACTTAAAAATGTATAAACGGATTTTTTATTCTCAAAGCATGATCAATTATTAATTTGTTGTGTTTAAGATGATTTGAGTATGTTCATTCATATTCATGTTCAAGTTGATTAATGTATAAAAATAAAAATAAAATGATCAATCCCTTAAGAAAAATGATTGATCCATGTGCTACCGGAATAAGGATCAATCCCTTTGAGAAAAGATCGATTCCTTTTCTAGAAAGATCGCTCTCTCGGGAGATAGGATCAATCCCACATGTTTGAAATCATGCAATAATGTTCGAAATTTCCTTTTAAATCATATAAAATTAGTTTTTAGTCTATAGTATTTAAATAAGTGTTATTTTACAAATTAATTCTTAAATCTTACAAATAAAATTGAAAATGAACTTCAATGACTAATTTAGAATCCGGTGTTTGGATTGAACTGTTTCAGTCATATTGGGGGTTAAAAAAACAGATGACACAAATCAGATTTCATAACTAGTGCGCACAGACAAACAAATGTGGATGAAGGGTAGTAAGCCCTATGTACATAATCGTACCAGTAGCATAGATTGAATTCTCTAGTACTCGAATCCAACCTGTATTTTAAAATAGAGAGCGATGAACTGGTAGGATATGAATGAACCATCAAAGGGCAGTGAACCGCCAATACTTGCTCCTATAATTTCCCACCCAAATGCAACAAAACATAATGACATGCGATGCAGAACAAGATCAGAGACAATGGGGTTGTATTATCCGAACCAACTAGGTTAAGTGTCACATGGAAGCTATGATTTGCACATCAACAGAACACATGCAATGCAAAATACAGAAAAGTGGTAGAGCATGTGAATCAAAGATCAAAATAATTTCATAGGCATGTAGAGACAGTGGATACCAATAGTTAAATCATTTAATATTGAGCCTCCTCAATACCAATAATAATAATAAAAAGTAGATGGATCTTAAATTTTGAGTTTGTGTAATATTCTGGGGAATCCACTTTTTGGTAGATTAATTCACCTTTCCAAGTATAGGCAAAATAATCAGACCATTCGATATTCTTTTTCAACTCTAATTTGACGTTGGGGTCAAAGGGAATCCAATTCTAAAGTATATGCTATATGATCCATGTAGATTTTCTATACACAATGAATTTTATGCTTACTGGGTTAATTCCACCTGACATTTAGGTTAGGTTTTAAGTTGGTCTTTAAATGCTAAGATATTTTAATTTAATCTAATTGTCAACTAAAATAATGTAATGCTATACAGTGAATATCACTAGTATCATATTCCAACCTCTGAAAAGACATGGCTGCGATGCCGATTCCAAAACACAAATGCATGAACTGAATGGAGCCTAGTTAATACAAGTCAATTTAGTTGGGCGAAGGGATTAGATTAGATTTATGGCCATAAATATGAAGATGCTTCTATGTGATTACGTTTTCACAGTAATCAAAATCCATCAAGTGGTCTCAGTAGTAAAAGAGAAGATTATTCTTTCCAAAGGTCTTGAGTTCGAACAACCGTGTTTATAGGGTGCATTTTTTTCAATAAATTAAAAGAATTCTAAACATATACTTCATTGTAATCATTTCAATCTATTCAGAAAAGGAATGATGTTGATGTAGTGGTGAAGGAAAAAATCAATTCAATTTTTGTATGATTCTTTTATTTTCTTAAAAAATCTGAATTTAATTGTGGTAAAAAATTAATTAAAAGTTATTTTTAGTTTATTTTAAATTATTTAAATTTACTTAAACTAATTTTTAGTAAAGTAAAAAATAATTTATCTTAATTTTCTCATTTACTTATATTATTTTTAATTTGTACACAGGTCATAAGTATCAAATCACTCCATCATTAAAAACACATAAAAAAATCTCTCTTCTCACTTGTTCTCTCGGTTCTTGTTGAGTTAGCCAAGTATTCTTGTCGAGAACTATTATTGATTATTAAGTCTTGTTGAATCATGTATGATACAATATAATGTTTTTAGGGACAATGTATTGTGCACACCTCAAGCTATTTATTTTGTACTTTATTCGTCTTGTCTAATATTTTTAGTAATCTTAGAATATTTTGTAACACCTCCAATTTGATATTATAATTATACATGAATCAGATATCTATATTTGAGAACAGAAACGGAAAAGAAATTATTTACAACCTTTTAATTTACTTAAATAAGTAGGTATGGATATTTTTGATAAATACGAAAAGTTGGAAAAATACAAGGTTTTAAAAATAATATAGCATGGTAAGCATAAATAGAAAGTAGTTTTCATAAATATCAAAATGTACGAGACTACTCTTATATATGCCATTACAAATTATGTACTAAAACTAACCTTTAATCTCTATTGAGGTTGTTTTTACTCTATATAGTACTCGGTTATATCGTAAATTTTTTGAAAATTGATTATTAGTGAGTACAAATTTAATCTTATCACCAACAATCAATTGGTCTGGCGGGATGCGACACGAGATTCTTAAGGCAATGTCAGGGTTCAAACTTTGATGTTTACGAATGGAGCAAATTAGGTTGGGAGGGTCACAATCGCCTCTGCAATACCCGATCTGAATTATTCGACCAATAAATCGAATTCTAGTTATTAATTCAAAAAAGAAAATTTAATCTTGTTTGTATCTGATCTCGTAAAACTCAACACTAGCTTCTTGTTCCAGTTCATTTTATTATTTAGAATAACTTTTTATATTCATATCATCTTATTAATTCGTTTTAATTCACATATATCTCAATTCCATTATTAATGTTTAAATGTCGACTTGAAGCCTTCTTGT